CTTATCTCTCAAATTCTTCCCTCGTGATCCAGTAGTTGTTTATCTCTTTTTCTCAGCTTCTTTATTTTCCATCATTTTGCCTTCTAGATCACTGATTCTCTCTTCTGCCTCATTTATCCTAGCAGTTAGAGTCTCCATTCTTAATTGCATCTCATTAATAGCCTTTTCTATTTCACTTGGTTTGATTTTAGTTCTTTTATTTCTCCAGAAAGGGATTCTCTGGTGTCTTCTACACTCTTCTCAAGCCCACTTAGTATCTTTATAATCATTATTCTGAAATCTAGTTCAGACATCTTACTTATATCCATACTAATTAAGTCCCTGGCAATCAGTACTGCCCCTTGTTCTTTTTAAGATTTTATCTGGGAGACAGAGAGAGAGAGACAGAGAGCACAAGCAGAGGGAGCTGCAAGTAGAGAGAGCTGCAGGCTCCCCACTGAGCAAGGAGCCCGATGTGGGACTCAATCCCAGGACCCTGAGACCATGACCTGAGCCAAAGGCAGATGCCTAACTGACTGAGACACCCAGGTGTCCCTCTTGTTCTCTTTTTTGAGTTGAGTTTTTCCCATCTTGTCATTCTGTCCAGAGAAGAATAGATGAATGAGAGAACAAAATACTAAAATGGCAACAACAACCCCAGAGAAATATACACTAATCAGAAGAGAACCAAAACCAAAAAAAATTTTTAAGAAAAAGAATATAAGCAGACCAGTGAACTGAACCAAGCAGTACACTCAATCCTGTATTTTAGTCTGTTAAAAAATTAGATCCCAAAATTGTAAAGAAAGAAAAACTTATACATGTACAAAAATTAAGTTAAATACTATGAAAGAATAGAATGTAACTATAAAGATGAAAATTAAAAGACAAAAAAAAAAAGGACTATAAACAGGTGAACAGGACACAGCAATACACTATATCCTGAGTGTATTTTGGTAGCTTTGTTAGAAGAAACTACATCTCAAAATTGTAAAGAAAGAAAAACATATACACACAAAAACAAAGTTAAGTACATTGAAAGGATAGAATGTAACTATAAAGATGAAAGTTAGATGAAAAAGAAAAAAAGATTATCATCAG